AGTTGTGCTGGCTTGTAACAGTCCTCAATACACCAAGGTGCAGAGCCAAGAACACACACATGAAAGAAGGAATCAAACGCGTCTCTGCTGTAACTCCGAGTTTCACGGTTTCACCGATCATCAGACAGCAGACATAAGTTCGTGACAAAATGCCGGCTTCTAGAGAAATATGTCTGTAACGTCGGTGGTCTTACCTTGCACGACATGGTCTGCATGTTAACACCCATGTTGTCATCGTGGATATTCCGTGCAAACATGAAAATCGCCATGGCCATCTGCTCCATGTTCAACAGTGAGCGGATGTGGTGAGTGATTTCTGCTAGCGTGCTGTACACAATGCCTCTGTCAGGAAAACAGAATAAATAGGTAGATAAATAGACACAGGGGAAGTGGTCCCGTCAACCGCAAAGAAGACTCAACAGTGCTGGGATGCACTGAAGCTAGTACACACAACGGAAGCGCTCCTCACCAAGGAAACATAATCCGCTGCTACGTCGAGATTGTTGAGATGTCAATCATCAGGCAACTCGGAGTAGCAACGGATTATGTTTCTTTGGTGAGGACCGCTTCCATTGTAGATAGATAGACAGACCATACAGACATACATACAGACAGATAGATAGGAAGATAGATGGATGGATGGATGGAAAAATAGATAGATGGTTAGACAGACAGACAGACAGACAGACAGACAGACAGACAGACAGACAGACAGACATAGAACCAATAATTATGACAGAGCACAGCCATGCCGACGTTGTACAGTGTAGCTGAATCTCAACATCTACAGTACACTCAACATCTTCAAGTTCACAGAGATCTGTAACATGCTCACACAATTGTAGGAGGAAAATCAACGATCTTCGCGGTGCCACAAGTACCAGCAAGGATGACACAAGTACTGGTGTGGAAATCGGATGGGATGACCGAGGCTGGTGCCCTTACTGCTTTCAGCGCACGTACATGCACTGTAGTTCACGGACACACTGTAACAATGTACCAGCAGTGCTCGTGGCCGCAAGGCCAGCGCCCCGTGGCCCCTTGACTTCTCAACGGATTTCACTGTCCACAGCAGTACTGTCAAAGCAGAAAATTTCGTCGGTTAATAATTTCGTCCAACTCCATAGAAAGGGAGTTTGTCCGGTTGTAAACTTCGTCCATGGATCATAAGAGTGTATTGAAAAGCTGCACAAATCGATATTAGTCCGGCATTTAATTTAGTCCAAAAGCTCCTTGGACGAAAAAGACGAAATTGAATTCCAGACGAATATTTCTGCTTGTACAGTACTCAAGAATGTGCAGGGGCGTAGTGCATTCACCCTTACTTCAGTGTCTCGTGTGACGTATAGCCAGCACCAAACAGGGTGGACTCGTCGAAGAACTGAGACAGGAAAGGCAACACCGAGCGTCGGAGATCAGAACCCAGGATCATACGAACAGCCACGAACAGCTCGCGCCGCAGAAAGGTCACTTCCTGTACAGGAAAGCGAGGCAGACACACAACTATATCAGGACAAAGAGTGCTAAATTATTAGTTAACAGAGCAACTGTTATATCAATGTGCTGCAGCTTTTCAAGTCGCAAGCAGATTTTCAACTTGTTCATTTTACTTGTCCTGATGTCAGCACAATGCATATTCTGCGGATGCTGGTTCCCGTGTGTGTGTGCGCGTATGTGTGTGCGCGTATGTGTGTGTGTGTGTGTGTGTGTGTGTGTGTGTGTGTGTGTGTGTGCGTGCGTGTGTGTGTGTGTGTGCGTGTGTATGCAAGTGAGAGAGAGAGAGAGAGAGAGAAAGTGAGAGGGGGGGGGGGGGGGGGAGGGGGAGGGGGAGGGAGGGAGGGAGGGAGGGAGAGAGAGAGAGAGAGAGAGAGAGATAATTTGTCTTGCATTGGCTTGCGAACTCGACCGTGAAATTCGCCTCGCTAATCCTCCGTAACGAAGAACAAAAGACCACACGATGCACAAAAGCAGAATATTTAACGAAAGGAGTCAACTCACGGGTGGTGTGTGGCGCAGCATACCAAGAATAGCATGGATCAGCTCGTTGGGGATGTTCCCTACAAACGCTTCCTACATGCCACAGCACGGTGCACACACAGGCACAGAGACACCGACCACTTGCCGTCAGCAATCCAGATATCAACACTCTTTTACACTCTTTTTCATGGCATTTTATTATTTTGGTCGTGCGGTGTTCACCAACGCTTGACCTAGGTGTACTTGTATGTAGTGCTTACGATCCATACCTGTACAGCAGGACACACTTTTTCGTACTGTTTCGCAGTACTTGGCAAACATGACAAAGCTCTATACAGCCATCTCCAAAGGCAACAAAAAAATTAATACGAATGGTTAAATGCCGATAAGCCCAAGCAAACTGTTTCTACCGAGAATCAACACATCCGACTGGCACCACAAACTTGTCAACTTGAACCTGATCGATGCACACAAACTAGTTGATGCTTACACAAAGCCTAATCACCTCACCGAAGGCTGTCATTCTAACGTGGTCGAACCAGGGACAGATTAGGCCCTCGGCAAGCGAGTCATAAAATTCCTACCCCTAGAATACGCGGATATGCCAATTTTGACGTGCACTGTCATTGCCGTACAAGATAAAAAATATTATCACCGAGGCGGCCCTCAAATGCAGGGACAAATTTCAATGAATTAGAGCTTGGTCTAATAATCAAGGGCACTTCATTGTTCAAACATACAGGTATACAGGTATACAGGCAGCAGTATCCGCTATAGCGTCAACCGTACATCAGGTAAGCACTCGCATCAGAAGCGACAACAGGGACAGTGGCAGCAGCGGAAACAACAGCAGCAGCAGCAGCAGCAGCAGCAGCAGCAGCAGCAGCAGCAACAACAACAACAGCAGCAGCAGCAGCAACAGCAACAGCAGAAGCAGCAACAACAACAGCAACAGCAGCAGCAGCAACAGCAGACGCAGCAACACGTGAAGCAATGACTGCGAGTCGTCTAACCGGGAATAGCCGATGCATATAGCCCAGGAAAGACAGTGTCTTGATTTGCGCGCTGCAGACATCGGCAAAGATATCCTTCTTGTGAGCGGGTAGAGATAATACGGAAGCTGTATTGCTGCCAGCGCTGTTCCCCCTATACGTGACAACAACCACACACAGGCCACAACGACGACGACGACGACAACAGCCAACCAAACACACACATACATACACACACATACATACACACACCCACACCCACACACACACACACACTTGTACACACACACACACACACACACACACGCACACACACACACATGGTCGGAGATGAGAGACACGGCAGAGACGCAGCAAGCAGAGCAGCAAGCAGAGCAGCAAGCAGAGCAGCTAGCAGAAAGCAGGGAATTCGTATTTTGTAGTGTGTTTTCCTGAATGTAGGTGGCACTTTTGTTGCAACAAACTACAAGGTTGAAGCAAGCAGCCTGTGTAGGCCCACATGCACACACACACACACACACACACACACACACACCAAACACATGCACCATGTACCATGTATACGCTCGTCGCAAGGGCAGCACGCAAATTTGCAAATGCACTGGATATACACCCGTAGATTTTCTCTTAAAGCAACGATTGCGGACAAGATCTGAACAAAATAGATCAAGACAAGCGCCAGGTAACTGCCTAATCCATACAACTGGGCGACACCACATGAATTGCCCCTCCCCCCCCCCCTGCACACCTGGTCTACACCACATGAATTGACACTCCCCATGCACACCTGGTCTACACCACACGGAATACATCGTAATAGGACGGCCAAGACAGTTAGTTACCTACGCACACCCTACACTTGCTGGGGTAACCAGTTTAGACACATGCACGAGCGCGCGCACACACGCACACACACACACACACGCACGCACACACACACACACACACACACACACACACACACACACACACACACACACACACACACACATGTACCATGTATACACCCGTCGCAAGAGAACCACGCAAATCTGCAAATGCACTGGATGTGCACCCACAGATTTTCTCTTTATAGCAACGATAGCGGATCTGATTCTGAATGAAACAGATCAAGACAAGCGCCAGATACCTGTCTGCTCCACACAACTGGCGAAGCCATGTGAATCGACCCCCGAATGCACACCTGGCCTACACCACACGGAGTACATCGGAATAGGACGGCTAAGACAGTTACCTATGCACACCCTACACTTGCTGCGATAACCTGTATAGACAGCACGCTGCTTTGATAAAAGCAGACACTAGATGCACTAGTACCTACATACCGTAAAGTCTTGTATAAAAGCCGCACTTGAATAGAAGCCGCAATTTTGGGCCCATCAAATCACACATAAGCCTGGGTGTAGTGTTGACATACATAGAAATACCTGTCTTGTATAGAAGCCTGTCTCATATAGAAGCCTGCAAAATTTCACCCAAAAAGTCATAGAAGCCGCGGCTTTTATAGAAGACTTTACGCACTTGTATACACACACACACACACACACACACACACACACACACGCACACGCACACGCACACGCACACGCACACGCACACGCACACACACACACACACACACGCACGGCAAACACATGCATAACTCTTACCCAGATCCACCGGAGGTCGTGGGTGAAAAATTCAAAAAGCTGATTGTCAGAGGTAAGAACTCTGGAAATAAGCCTTGCACAGTCGATTTATACACCTGAGCAACGTACACGAAAGAGGAGGAGGGAGGGAGGGAAGAAGAGAAGGAGGGAGAGAAGATAGACACATGCATACGAAGGCAGAGGACAGACAGACAGACAGACAGACAGACAGATAGACAGACAGACAAACAGAATCACACAGAGCAAAAGGAAGATGTAAGGAGAGCAGCCAAAGGTCATGCGCCTCCACTTGATACATGTCCTAGTGGTGGCCAATCAAAAACCAAGTCAGTGAGACAGACTGACTGTAAGTTGACAGGAACACACGATAGAAGACCAGGTC